CAATTTGGGGAAGCACCAACCTGGCCTAGGCCCCAGCCAGCCTGTGGGTCTCTGTTTCTGTCTGTCCGCCCTCCTCAACCCTGTTCAGCCAATCACTCATCTTTGTGCCAGCAAACCTCTTGCCAAGAATCCTTGGACCTAGGCTAGGTTTCCACACCCCTTCCTCCAGGAAGCCTCTAGGCCCTTGCCCAAATGGATCTTAATCCTTCCAGCTTGTCTGCCTCTCTTCCTAGGTCTGAGTCCTGCAGAGCCAGAGGTCTAGTCTGCATCTGATCACCACTAGATGCCCAGAAGCCTGGCACACTGAGTGCCGTTTAAAAAAAAAAAAATGGTGGTGCATGCCTTTAATCCTAGCAGAGGCAAGTAAATCTCTGAGTTCAAGGCCAGCCTGGTCTACAGAGTGAGTTCCAGGACAGCCAGGGCTACACAGAGAAATCAAAACAACAACAACAAAAACGAAACAAAAGCCAAAAATAAAACTTTAACATTTCTTCCCAGCGTGGCACGGACCTCACAGCTACACCCGCTGCACACTCTACCACTGAGCTATACCCTAGTCTCATCTTATTACAAAAGCTATTGGAGATCTGGGCTAAACATCCCAAAGCAGGCCATGAGCAGGACTTGTGGTGCAGGACTTGCAGTGACTCATCACACCCAATCACAATCACCCAATCACCTAATCACTTCCAGTGCCCCCTGAGCTGAGGGACAAGTCCCTGGTGTGCTGTGACTGCTGGCAGCTCTGGGGTCCTGGAGCTGCTGCTGTCTCCTGTGAACTCACTCTGTTGTGGAGCAGTGCTCTCTCCCGCCTGGCATGGGAGGGTGAGGGTTCCTATCACAGGGAAACGGAGAGAGCTGCTCTCACTTTTTCTCAAAGTCAGGGCATCCATGCACAGAAACACCAAATGGCTACTTCCCAAAACAAACCAAAGCAGGGCCTGCCAGCCCAGCTCAGGGGGGTGTGCCAGGGGACTTCTCACCAGTGGTGCCATTTCCTCTTTACCACAAACCCCACAAGATCTAAACTTTCCAGAATTTAAAAGCACCTGAGGTTCCAGGAGTTGGCCACAGGGGAGGGCCTTGGTCTGCCCACCCCAAACCCAGATGGTCATTTGCATTGAGTGTGAGCCCCACCATGCATGACCAGGTTTTCAGAGTGTGAAGGAGCTTTGGCGAGCCCACAAACAAGTCAGTAAGTTCCATACACAGCAAACACTCACTAAAGAAGCCTGGACCAAAAGATCCACTTTCTGCTCCCAGTTCTGACAGTTAAGAGCAAAGAAAGAGAAAAGCCATAGCACTCAGCTTCAACCTGGGGAGGAACAGCCATTGTCATTGGACTGGCTGATGTCATGCAAACATGCTACCCACATGAAAGGACACTCAAGCCTCCTGTTTATCTCCAACACCTGGTCTATCTGTTTAGCTCC